CGAAAGGAGTGATGGGTTTCTAAATCCACTGCAACCCTAATTTTTCTCTTTTTTTTCTATCGGGTTCATAAGAAACCCTTAAATATGAGAACAGGTCAAACAGGTTTGAGTTTTTATCACTAAATCCAAACCCGATAACAAAAAATAGATCTAAAAAAAGAGTCATATCGGCCGATTTTTAAAGCTGAAAAATCGGTCGATATGCTCGATATGACTCCGATATTTTCGATTTGGCCCTGAAAATCGATATACGAGTTGAAAACGTCCATGTCGTGTCGCTCAAGCCCTCAAACCGACATGTCGGCCGACATGTCTAAAACCTTGTCAACTGGTTGATCTATCTCTCACTGCCTTTCACTGATTTTTCACTTGCTTTGACTGGTTCTTTGTTATTGAAATAAAAGACTAAATCCTAACAGATAACTCGAACGTGCTTCATTTGAAATCTTTAATCTAGTATGTTTAGGTAAAAAAATAGGGTAAATTTTACAAAACCCCTTAAAGTTTGGTCCATTTTGAGAGAACCCCCCTTAATTTTAAAAATGTCACTTAAACCTCCTTAAGTTTAGAATGTATCAGAAACCCCCGTAAACATTGTTGGATGAGCTTGTAAAAATACCAAAATATCCTTTTCAAATTAACACTCTGATTATTAAATTAAATTAAATTAAATTAAATTAAATGATATTAATTGGGGGGTAGGGTTAAACGGGGTTATCTCAAATTTGGACCATGCTTAAAGGGGTTTTTTGCGAAAATTACCTTTAAAATTATATAAGAACATGAAAGGTTTTTTTCCCATCACAAGCATTTTGGTCATTTGCATACATGATTTTCACGTGGTAGTCAGATTTAACGTTGTTATTTTAAGGGGTTACGAGTGTTGAGCCGGTGCTTGTACGTATTGTTTGATTTCTTTGATTTATACATCATTCGAATATGTTAAGCTACCTAGTACAATAAGAAAGCTGATTGATTACATCTCTTTCTAGATTATAACTTACATTATAACTTACAGATTATCTAGTACCTAATATATTAAATCTTTATGAAGAAAGAGAATGAAAACCTCTTTAACTTTCTATATAATGAGAAGAAGAGAAAATAGGTAGTTCTAGTGGTAAGGTTTTTCTTAGATAAGATACAGTGATACGTTTGAAATTCAGATATAGCCTAACCATCAATCTTCTTTATAAATCTAAATAAAAATTATGATGTTTAAAAAATAAAAATGATTGAGATTTCAATGTCGCGAGATTTCAATCAATGTTGCTATTTGGTTCGCTTGGGATCGGGACACGAATGCGATTATGACTTTTCTTTGATCCCCAAAATGAATAATAGGAAGTTCCACTATCCCCTATTTTAAGAACATAGGACTTCCCGTGACCATTATGCCCTTCCACCTCTTGCATTCCCCACCGCAATGATATATTATAATATTATAATATAATATGTTAAATTAGGGGGCCATTTTCAGAAGATTGTTCGTAATTTTCAGATTTTCTGAAGATTGTTTGCAATTTATAAATTTTAAAGTGGGTGGTGTATAATTTTCCTGAATTTTAT